CCTCCCTCTTTCCTTCCTTCCTTCCCTCCCTCTTTCCTTCCTTCCTTTCCTATCACGTTCCCTCTCTTTTCCTTCCTTTTCCTCTCTCCTTCATCCTTTCCTCTCTCCCTTCCATCCCTCCCTCCCTTCCTCTTGCTTTCCTTCCTCCCTCCTTCCCTACCTTCCTTCCTTTTCCTCCCTCCTTCCTTCTCTTTTCCTTCTTCCTTCCTCCTTTCCTCCCTTCCTTCCCCCTTCTTTCCTTCCCTCTCTCTTTCTTTCCTTCCTTCCATCTGTCCCTCTCTTTCCTGCCTTCCTTCCTTCCTTCTTTCCTCCCTTCTTTCCTTCCTCTGTACCATCCTTTCCTTTCTTGCTTGCTTCCTAGCATCTAATATAGGAGTTGTTCTTGCTATAGTTTAAAATATCACGAAAGAGCAGAGCTGGGAAGGACCTCCTAGCTTCCATATCAGTTATACGCCATGTCCACAACATTTCTGGCTGGTGATATTACCATCTCTGTTTGAAGACCTCTAATGATGGGGAACCCCCTACCTTCCAAAGCAGACGGGTCCACTTTTGGGTAGCTCCAGTTATTAGACAGCTTAGGATGGGATGACAGACTGGAGGTAGAAGGGACCACAAGTAGTCTGACCACCTCATTTTACAGATGAAGAAACCAATGCTAAGAGAGATGAGGCGGCGTGGCCAAGATTGTTTATGCACTGAGTGACAGAGTTGGGATTTGACTCCAAACCTAGCCTCTTTCTTTTTTTCTTTTTTTTTTTAAGTGAGGCAATTGGGGTTAAGTGACTTGCCCAGGGTCACACAGCTAGTAAATGTCAAGTGTCTGGTCTGAGACCCGAATTTGAACTCGGGTCCTCCTGGGGCTCTATCCACTTTGCCACCTAGCTGCCCCAAAGCCAGCCTCTTTCCCACTGGGCTGTGACATTCCTCCTGTTGAGCCAAACTGACTTCCCTTTCAATTCTGCTCCTTGCAGGGCCCTGCCTTCTGGGCCAGCACTTTCCCATGTCAGTCCCTCAGGTGCTCATCAGTGGAGAACCACGGGATTTTGAGTTACTCTGGTCTAGTCCCTTCACTTTAAATCTGAAGGAGACGACCATAACCCTCCTGAGTTTTTTATTTAAAATTTTACATGTAAATTGATCCATTGACCTTCAGTTGTGTGTGTGACCTTAGCCAAGTCATTTCTACTGTCTCCAGTTTCCTCACATTTATTTAAAATGTGGATGTCCATGTTTCCACCAACTTCCTCACTGAGTTGGTGTGAGGACAGTGCTTTGTAAGTGGTGGAAGGCTGATGTGTACTGGCTCATGAGTCAATTTAAACAAATGGACTCAGTTGCCTAGAAGGGAACCGGGGCGATCATGTAAGAATGAAGGGTGACCTAAGAAATGGACAGCCTGGGCTGCACCAGCACCCACAGCATAATGGGAATAGGCCCAGAGGACTCTCATGAGAATGCACAAGGACACCCAGGGGGGCTCTTCTGTGGAGGGGCTGGGGGCAGATGGGCACATGCAAAAGCAGCCCCCGACCTCAGGGAGGTCCCATTCTAATAGGGGAGACTCGGTATGTACATAGACATATGTACGGAGACACCTATGTACATAGACACACATACGTGTATATGCCTTTACACACACGCACATGTGTATATGTAGGCGTACACATACACTTTGTAATTAACCTTTGTAGATAGCTTTAAAATGTGCAAAAGCACTTTGCAAATCTCTCATCTGAGCCTCACAACAAGCCTGTGAGGTGCATGTTATTATTATTCCCAATTTACAGACAAGGAAACTGAGGCATGGGAGTTAACTGTCTTGCCCAGGATCACACGTCTAATAAGTATCAGAGGCAGGTGGATATGTGTGTTAATATAATATCTTCTAAAAAACCAGGACACAATGTAAGTTCACAGTTTCTCTACCATCCACCTTCCTGTTCTTTGTATCTCGAAATGTTTATATTTATTGATGATTAAGTTCAAAATTAAAAAAAAAAACAAATTAAGAACATTGTAATTATTCAAGAAAAGCGATTGAAGAGCTCATCCCCATGGGTTCAGAGATCCCACCATAGAGATGGCTGTAACAGTGAGGAAGGATTTGTCGTACCAAATGTCCATAGCGGCCTTCTACGCAATCACAGGGAAGAGGAAACAAAGCAGGTGCCCATCAGTTGGGGAATGACCCACCGCATGACAGCACAGCTCTTTAATGGAATTACTTCCCATATGAATAATTCAGAGAAATATGATCAAAGAGCCGTGGCTTTAGATTCAGAGGTCCTAGGTTCAAATCTCACCGGTGACATTTACTCCCTGTGTGACCTTAGATACGTCACCTTCCCTCCGTGGGCCTCAGTTTCCTCCTCTGTAAAATGAGGACTGGACCGAATGGTCCCTGGGGTCCCTCCCAGCTTCAGCTCTAGGATCCTGGTGTCCTCTGGTCTGAATGACACAGAGCAAAGAAAGCAGAGCCAAAAGAATGATGAACACAGTGAACACGGTGAAGACGGAATCAAAGTCTAGAGGCGACGACATTTCAGGCGGATAGAGGGGATCGCGGTGGCGCCACGCTTTATTCTGCGCCAGGGAAAAGTGCTTCAGCCTGCTTCCTGGAGGTCATAAGCACAAGCTGGGTAGGGGTGGGGATCGCTGAAGGCTGTTGCTGTCCGTTGTACCAAAAGAGTGTGAAACCTTTGGACGCGCGACGGACCCACGGTCTCCCTGCTGGAGGCCCTCCCTCCCTCCCTCCTCTGCGGATGCCAACCATGATCCATCCACTCTCCCCTCGTCTGGGCCAATTTCGACCGTGCCTCCACTCCCTAAATCCCAAGGGGGTTACTGACAGCGAGGTTTAGGTTTGTTTTTTTTTTAATCTTTTAAATCAAGAGGAAAACAAATCTGAATGCTCTAAGGAAGGGCTCCATTGTGGGCTTGTTGTCCCTAGAGAGCAAAGGGAACAAAATCCCTCCATTCTTGGCACGTTGGACATGCCTGATAAACACTTGTGGACTGACTGACCGATGGCTGGATGAAACAGCATGGATGGATTGTGCCTGCCTGCCTGACATTGGGAGGAGTGGATCACAGAGCTTGTGGAGGGCAAAGTTGTCACGTCCAGAGTCCTGAATAGAAAGCAGCATTTCCACAGTCCTTGAGTGGGGGGGGGGGGGGGGGCATGTGGCGGGGGGGGGGCAGACTGGCGTGGCAGGGCTTTCTCCTACCTGAGCAGAACGGAGGTCAGTGACAGGCTCTGCTCGGTGCAGGGCAGACTCCTCCATGTCTGAGTGGTCCCGAATGTGGAAGAGCTTTTCTGGCTGGGCGGGCCAGGGGGCAGCCAGGAGGCAAAGCAGCCACGTCCCGGGCAGATAGACAGCAGCCGGCATGGCACTTGTCAGACAGAAGGCCCCCTGGCCCTTTCTCCCAGCCTCTTCTCCCCTTCCTGGGACAGCCTCCGTGCGCTGGAGGATGGGACCCACTCTTTATATCTTGGAGGCGCCACCCCCCCTTTTTCTCCAAGCTCGCATGTGATAATTCTCACCACTGTCTGAAGTGTGCTACCCCAGGGTGAGCACACACACACACCCGGCCTGAGGAAAACCTGCCCTTTGAAGGCCCCACGGCCACCTCCCCGACACCCACCCTCGCTCGTGCCTCAGAGCCTGCTGCTTGTCAGGGACCAGCTGGCCCATCTACAAGCGCTCTCCCCCTGCCCCTGTGACCTCATCAGCTCCCAGTCAATCAGCAGCATTTCTTCAGCGCCTGATCCTGGCCTCTTCTCCCTAAGACTCCCTCCTTGGTGACCTCCTCGGCACCTAGGACTTCAATGATCATCTTTGTGCTGGTGACTCTCACGCGTCTCCAGAAGCCGACTGGACTTCTTGAGCTGGATGTTCCAGACATCCTACAACTCAACGTGGCCAAAATTGAACTTGTGATCTTTCCCCCAAACTCTCCCTTTCTCACTTCCCATGCTGTTGAGGGCACCATCACCTCCCTAGGCCCCCTTACTCACAGCCTGGCAACATCCTCAAAGCCTCATCTCCACAGCCCACGTCCACAAGTTGCCAGAGCTAGCTGATGGTACCTTTGAAGCATCTCTCGAATACGCCCCCTTCTCTCCCCTGACTCTGCCTCCTCCTCATCACCTCCTGCCTGGACTATTGCAAAGTCTGCTTGGGGGAGGGGGGTTCTGCCTGCCTTGAGTCTCTCCTCACTCCAATCCATCTTCCACTCAGCTGTGGAAGTGAGTTTCCAAAAGGGCGCTTCCTTATTTAATCACTTCCAGACTCTTTCTGATCTCCAGGGCCAAACAGAGAATCCTGTCTGGCTTCCAAAGCCCTATATAACCTGCCCTCCTACCTTGCTCACCTCCACATACTCTTTGATCCAGTGACGCTGTCCTCCTCGCTCTCCCTGCTCTGGGCAGCTTTCCTGGCTTTCCTCATGCCTGCAATATTCTCCCTTCTCATCTCCACCACATCTTGTTTATTCTACCCCTACAACTTCCAGGGTGGACATGAGCAGATCTGCCCACCTCCTTACGACTATTTCAGCAAGAATCAAAAAAGAGCACTACTCCATAATGATCAATAATCCAAGGAGAAACGTTGTAAGATCCTTTTTTCTAGCCACAGCCAGAAGCCCGTGGGCACTAGGGAAGGGGTCAAACCGGGAAACCCGGGAGCCAGGTGCACAGAGCAAAAAAGCCTTCCAGCACCGACCAGGAGTGAGCCGGGAGCTGTGAATTAAGGGTAAGAAGAACGGGGATGATGTGAGGATTGAGCAGCAACACCCAGAGATTGTGGCTGTCACCGAGCCAGGACGAGTCAGGAGCCGGCCTAGCTCTGGCTGGAGGGTAGTAATCAGACCACATCCTGAGAATTAGCCGTATCCCAGGGCTTAGAAAGTTTTCACCTTGCTCATCTGAGCCTCCTCAGAGGTCCTTGGTGAGGGAGAGACAAATTAGAACATTAGACCATTGACCCTAGCGACTATCCATGCAAAAACATTTAAATATTAGAAATTAGCTACCCCAAGGGAGTGGTAAGTTGGAGGCAGCATAGCCTTCTTTGTCTGTAGCAGGGGACAAATCTCACCCTGAGCCATCATCATCCCTAGCCTGAGGTCCGTGGGTTTGGACTCAGTAATAATCTGTCCATGGTGCTGAGAAGCACAATGTTATGGGAGCGTCCACAAAGAAATCACCAAGGGCTTCAGAGGCCGTCTGCCTCCCCACTGTGCCTGCTGTAGAGGAGTTTCCTCTGAGGAATCCCCACTGTGTGGCCCCCCAACGCTCCACTGTGAAGACTCCCTTGCTCACAAGGTAGCCCAGCAGGCAGCAGACAGTCAATCAGCCAGCATGAGTGCTTATTATGTGCTAGGCGTCCTACTAAGCCCTGGAGACACAAAGGGAAACAAAACAAAACAAAACAGTCCCTGCTGTAAGGAGGTCACTGTCACAGGCAAACAGGATCCAGGAGATAATTAGAGATAATGTCAGAGGGAAGGCACCAAGATCTAGGAGGTCTGGGGAAGGCTTCCTGTAGAAGATGGGATTCAGCTGGGACTTGAAGGGGGCCAGGGAAGCCCGGAGGCAGGGACGAGCAGGGAGAGCCTTTCGTGTATGGAAGACAGCCAGGGAAAGTCTCGGAAGGGGAAGCCTTCCTCTTCCACAGCCCCCCCCATCCCCCAGCCTTCCTCCTGGCCTCCAGGCCCCTCTCTGCCAGTTTATTTCTAACTCCAGGGGGGTTCTGATGGCTCTGCTCTCTGCTCAGGACCGAGGCACAAACTTTCTGGAACCACAGAGCTTCGTCAGCAGGACGCGTCGAACCGTCTTTAATAGTGGTTTGAGCCACCCTGAGTCACATCCCTTCCAAAGAGCTTCACCATGGGGTTGCAGGAGCCTTTCGGAAGGGGCCTGTCGCCATGTGGAATGCGACGGCAGATTCTGTTGTAGTTACAGCAAACAGCGCTCATCAAAATCGCAGCGGCTGCATTTCCAGTTCATTAGCAATCCTGCGATCACTGTTGGCGGAGACATCTCCCAGGCTCCTGTGCAAGGATGCTCTACCTAACGGACTGCAGTTAAGTCAAGGGGTGATTGACCACCCTCCCCCCAGGAATGAGCGGATGGAGATATGAAAAGGGGCTTCAACTTAGCTGCTTTATATTCACTTAAGTGGAGTGAGCTCCTAGGTAGAAGGAGCCAAATAAGCCAGTTTTTCCACTCATTAGTCCTAGTAAAATTGACCTGCTAGTCCATAACCCCCTTCACCCCCTGTCCCATGCCTAGAATGCATGCCCGCCTTCACTTGGCCTCTCGGAATTCTGGGATTTTTTTCAAAGCTCAGGTGCCACCTCCCACATAAGGGTATTCCTGATCCCTCCCTGCCCCCCACCACCTTGTTACTGTTGCCTGGCACACAGTTGGAGCTTAATAAAGGCTGGTTGATTGATTCCCACCCCAGTAGACTGTCGGTTCCCTCAGGGCACAGGTTTCCATATATTTCTTTGCCCTGCCCAAGCACTCAGCTGGCATACAGCAGGCACTTAATACTTGCGGAATTGAATTGAAATCCCATTTCCATGCATGACGGTGACCACCAAAATCATTTCAGATGGTGTAGGCAGAGACTTCAAAGCTTCTTACTTGGTTTCCTCACTGCTAAAATTCCAGACTGGCTACTTCAGATTTTCCCAGGAAGCCACATGCTGAGAACGTTGCCAGTGGCGGGGGAGTGTCCTCCATGGGACCCTAATTCCATATCCTGCTAAGAACTGAATGGGAGAAACCCCCCTTGCTCTCCTCTATGCAGATGTGGGGGACCACAGGTGGGCAGCAGTGCACATAAGGTCATTCAGCTGATGGGTAAGCTGAGTGGTTTTACCGCACTTTTTTCTCTTTCAAAATTCTTTATCCTATGGGAGCGCTCACTGGGTGAGGGAGAGTGAGGGACACATAAGGCATCAGTGATTTTGTGTAGTCACATATGTATGTATACACATACACACACACATCACTCATGACATTAATGAGAATCAGACTGAGCTAACATCTAAAGGGAAAAGCCTGCACCCGCCTTCCAATGGCATGCTTCTTCTCAATTCTTTCTGTGTATCTGGATGTAAGACCACAGCCAACGTGTAAGGGAAAGCAAGACCACTCAGACTTTCCCCAACGTCCTCCAACACCTCATGGCTGTGTAGACAACCTTGGCTTCTCAAAGGCTCTGCCCAAAAAGGGAAGGATTTGGCAGGTTCTGTCAAGCTGAAAAAGCTCCAAGTACAGGTCCACTGATGGATGGTAAGTCTGGCATTCAAGGCCTAGTCTAGCTGGGCTCTTGACACTAAAGTCTGGCTACAAAACTGGAGTCAGGAAGGTCTCAGCTCAAATCTGGCCTCTGATTCTTCCTAGCTGCATGACCCTGGTCAAGTCACTTAGCCTTTGTCTCAGTTTCCTCATCCGTAATATGGTTATGCCAAAAGAGAGACTATTTGTAAAGCTGTCAAGAGTGAAATTTAACAAAAGGGTAAACCGAGGCAAATCTCTGCGCAACATAACATTGATTAGCAGGGGCATGGGGCCAATAAGTAGGTCACTGGCCTGCCTCCATTTATGCCAAAGTCCCCAAGCAGGTTTTCAGGAGCTATAGAACAAAGACCAGAACAGGGCAGAGGACCTCATGGGTTTGGGGACAACACTACTGGTTGCAGAGCTGGGGTGCAGGGAGCAACTTGACCATTTGGAAGCTTGGTAATGGCTGCTAGCCACGACCGCCCTTCCCTCATGAGACTGAGAAACGTTCACCGTTTGAGAGCAGCCCAAGGTCTAGGGATAAGGGGCCAGACACGGATGGACAGCAAAGCAGACATCCTTCAAAGACACCGCGGTGGCATGCAGATGGTAGGCCTGACTCCTCTGCTTTCACACACATCCCCCAAGGTGGGTGACATTCCTCGAGGCCAAGAACAGACCAGTGATTAGCAAGAGAACTGGATTTCTAAAATTAACTCCTTCCAGGCCAGCTGCATTCTGAACCACATTTGGGGTCAGAGAACCTTGACTTAAGCCACTGTAGGCCAAAAGCAGTTAATTGTACGTCGGATCAGTAAATGAACGAAACAGGACCCATCTTTTCTGATCAATCCCAGCTTTCTCCTGAGCCCTCTGGCCCTCAGAGGAGACACAAACGCTGAGGTTGCCAGACTTCAGGACGTGCCTTTCACGCCAAGGCCTGGCCAGGTCTACTTCTCAACCTTCTTTTCTTCTGGGGCCTTGGCTATGAGGTGCCTTAGAAGGGTCCTTGCTCTCTTGGAAGATGGCGGCCGCACTAATGCCATGCAGACCAAGGATGATACGGCCCTCTTTAGCCCCGTCCTGCCTGTTACACAATCCAAAGGAGGCATGGCCAAGTTGTCCGCCTGGGGCCTGCTCCTCCCGAGCCAATCCTGCTGGGTTGGAGAGGAAGTGGAAAGCTCACCAACTCTAACTCTTCTCTGACCTTCCCGTGCAGACAATCATCAGACTAGCCGTGGCAAGAAACTTTTTTTTCCACTTTTTGGTGAGGCAATCATGGTTGAGTGACTTGCCAAGGGTCACACAGCTAGAAAATGTTAAGTGACTGAGGCCAGATTTGAACTCAGGTCCTCCTGACTCCAGGGCCAGAGCTCTATCCACTGCGTGTGGCAAGAAACTTCGTAAGAGAGCTAGCAGTGACCAGAACAAAGAAATCCCAGGATGAACGACACCTGGATTTGACTTTCAAATGAGAAATTACCAGGATGAAACTAGTCCTTTATTGGAGAAGGAAGAAGGCAGAGGCCTGGCCCAGCAACCAAGAATCTGTTGTTGTCACGGCTTGTTCAAACCCAGGGAATCACAGAGCTCCTATCTCATTATTCCTCAAGCCTTCATTCGGTGACTTGAGACAACTTCAGTCCTGGGCCACAGCTCCACTCACACCCCAAGCCTTCCACTTTTGGGCAAATGTGCTCCTTTGGGATCCTGTGTGGGTGGCCACCCAGAAGACCCCTGTATTGCTGCTCCTGATCCCAAGAGGAGTCCTCATGTGGACAATGGAAGCCTCCTTTCTTACTCCCTCCCCTGTCTACATGTTGTCTCCTCCCTTAGAATATCAGTGCTTTGAGGACAGGCCTATGTTCTGGACCTCCTTGGTCTGAGCCCAGGGCCTGGCGTATTTCAGTCATTTTTCAGTTGTCTGACTCTTCACGAACCATTTGGGGTTTTCTGGGCAGAGGTACTGGAGTGGATTGCCATTTCCTTCTCTGGCTCATTTAACAGGTGGGGAAACTGAAGCAAACAGGGTGGAGTGACTTGCCTAGGGTCACACAGCTAGGAAGTATGAGGCTGGATCTGAACTCACTGTGCCACTTAGCGTGGGGCCTGGCATATACTAAGCGCCCAGTGTTTGCTGGCTGACCGGCTGGTCTCAGAGTTTCCTAAGCCCACATGACTGTTACTAACTGATCAATCTACGCCATCCTATCTATGCCAACCCTCAGACCAAGACTGTCACAAACGGTGGACCTTCCAAAGGAGAGTCCAGGCACAGACGCAGCCGTTCCAAGTGAGTGCTGATCCCCTGGGGGTCTCTTGCCCGTCTAGGAGAATCAGATGGCTTCCCTGACCCTCTACTTACCTGTGGGAAAGTATCTGTGACTCCAGTGGGCCTCCACACTGGAGGGATGCCGCCAGAGCACCCACTCACATTCTCTCTCCCCAGGCAGCTCTGGGAGGCTGTACGCTACACGAAGGTTTCTAATCTAGGTGGATGGAGGGACTTTCCATCCCGGAAGTGTCCTTTGCACATAAAACCACAGGTCAAGACTCATACCCACAAAAGTCCCAAAGTACAACAAGGAAGCCCCTGTGTGTCAAGGGAACAGGGTGTTTACAGGCTCAAATCATGCCATATACAACAAGCAGGCACTCTTTGAAAACAGAAACTGCTTCAGCAAGTCAACAGGCATTTATTAAGCACCGACTACATTCTGGGCACTGTGCGTTTCAGTCTTAGACTGTCTCTCTATCGCCAGCGCCGGGCACCATGCCTGGCCCACGCGATGGGTGGATTAATAAATGTTTGCTGACACTGTATCCCAACGAGGTATTTACTGAATTTCACGCACACGTCCCTTTTCCCTGTCCCTCGAATTCAGAGCGGGGCAGAAGCGGTGCAGCCCATTCCTGAGCTAGGTGGCAAAAATGAGAAGACACCATGACCCCTTCCTCCTCTCGCTGCCCAACACACCCCCAGCTCCCAGCCGCGGGATGGAGGGTGCTGACCGAGCCTATCTGTCCCCTCGAGCTGGCCCGGGACGGAGCCAATGTGGACGGAGACCTAAGCAGCCCCACAGCTGGATGGGCTCTCTGGCCGCAGCACCTTCTGGAGGCCGGCAGCCAAGTCGTGAGGGCAGGGCCTCTCCGCCGTGCAGCTCACAGGGATTCCCACGTTGGCCATGGCTCGGGCTGTGGTTGGACCTATGGCGGCAAACTGAAATGACAAAAACCGGCCTTAAATTCCAGCAGAACGTAAGCTCCCTGAGGGCAGGGCCAGCCTCATTTCTTTGAATCCCTAGTGCCTGGTACGGGGTTGGCATACAGTAGGTGCTTAATGAATGCTTGTGGGATGGAAATAAAGGCAAAGTGTAAACAGGTAGATGCATGGCCTGGTCTCCTAAAGCATGGTGACTCTACTCGTGAACCATCCGCAGGTGACACTGACCCTTTCAGAAAGTGGAATTGTGGCATACCGCAGGGCCAGCCAGGCCTGGAAGCCAGAGAGCTGGGTTCAAGGCCCATCGCTCAATACTTCCCAGCTGAGTGATCCTGGGCCAGTCATTGACCTGACGCAGGTCTCTCACTCGTTAACGGAAGGGAATAAGCATTTATTAAGTGCCTACTGTGTGCCCAGCACTGGCCAAAGCATTCCTCTGAAATCATCTCATTCGATCCTCACAACAACCTGAGGGGGGCTGTTGTTGTCCCCCTTTTACAGCTGAGGAGACTGAGGCAGGCGGCAGGGAAGTGGCTTGCCCAGACCCTGCTGGGAAGGAGAAGCAACCCCAAAGCCCTTGGGGTGGACATTCACAGGATCACAGACCCGGGGTGCTGGGAACTATACAGGCCATCTGGCCCAACCCTTCATTTTACATAGAAGGAAACTGAGGCACGGGTGGGGTGGGGATTAAGGGACTGCAGCTACATGGCACACAGGATAGAGTGCTAGACCTCAAGCCAGAGAGATCTGAGTTCAAATCCTGCCTCAGACATGAGCTCAGTGACCCTGGGCAAGTCACTTCACCTGTCTGCTTTAGTTTCTTTATCTGTCGTACGGGGATAACAACAGCCCTGACCTCCAATGGTGGCTGTGAGGATCAAGTGCCTGGCACACAGCAAGCGCTATATAAATGCTCGCTTCATTCCTGTCTGTTCTCCTTTCCCGAAGGCCACAAGGTAATAAGCAGCAGGCTGGAATTTGAACTCAGGGTCACTGACTCTGCCTTCTCTGAACAGGGCCTAGTTTTCGGTGGCATTTCAGCTCAAATCGGACAACTCGCCCTCACCTAGCGGTGTGGCCCATCCCCTCACTGCCTGGTCCACCTTGCCAAGGTGCTCCTGGTCACAGGAGGGTAGTGGGCACAAGGGGAAAAGGGCTGGCCTGGAGTCAGAGACCTCAATTCGAATCCTGACGCTGCTCCTAACTTGCTAGGTGATTGCAGGTGAGTCCCTTAGCTTCTTTCCCTGTGAGGGGAGTCCTTCCATCATGTGGAGGCTTTGTAAACCTCCAGAGTGGGGAGCACTTGCCTCCCCTCCCCCTCTGGCAGCCTAGCCCCCAAAGGGATCTGGGTCAGACCTCGGTGAAGCTGCTCTCTCCACGCCCACCAGACGAACCTGCCTCCTACCTGCCTCCTCACGGGCCTTCCCCTACCTGCTGAGAGCGGCTCCGCAGGAATCATGGGAAAGGACATGTTTTCAGGGTCTCACTAAGGTTACCTTTGCTCCCTCCATCTCAGCTTAAACTTGGGAGCTGTGCTGTGCCTGTCCTGCTCGCGAGCGCCCAGCTTGGCGCCTGTGGGGTCTCTCTTTGTGCCCCAGCGAGAAACATGGCAACAGTCTGGCGAGTCTACGGTACATCAGGTGCTCAGAGAACTACTCACTTCACCCTGGTTTCACCTCAACAGCCTTTCAGAAGCACAGCCTTCCCCCTTTCTATGGCTGGGCGATTTATTCCTGCGTCCCCCGGAATCCCCCTGGAATGATTCGCAGCAGCCTGGACGAAGCCTGAACACCTTCCCTACCCTCCCGGGCTGCTTCTCTGCAGGCCTGGGCCACTCCCGCACACCCTCAACCACGGTGCCCATTCTGCAAGCACCCGGCCCGCTCTCTGTAGGTCCAAGGACCCTGGGACACTAGCTGGGCACAGCAACACTACAGAGACAGAGACACTTCCCTCAGAAAAGGCCAGTGGGCCAACTGAACACTGAACACAGTGCCCTGCTGCCCAGCCAAGAGCCCCCAGCGCAGGCACCCTCGCAAACCATGCCCGGACAAGCTGGGGCAGCAAGCCCTCGGATGTCCCTGGGAAAACCGCCACGATGCTAACACATTTCCATGAAACAAACCTTTTTTAAGCGGTTGTTATGGGATGGTCACTGGGGTACAAAGAGAGAATCAAATAGTGCCTGCCTTCGAGGGGGTGGATTAAATACAAAGTCACACAGCATCGTTTCCAGGAGGAACACGAGGCACAGGGTCAGAGAAGGCTTGGACAAGTCCCTGGTGTTGAGAGGCCCTGGGATTCCGGGTGGAGAACAAGGGGCCCGACTCGGGGCCTCTCAGGTCCCTTCCAGCCCGAAGCTTTTAGGGGATCCCGCTGAACTACTCAACACCAAGAATAACAAACAGATCAAGGTTTAAATAAAACTACAGTGGGGATTGGATACTTTACCTTAATCTGGTCAAAGCTGTCGCCAGATAACTCCTGAATGTAGCTGAGGCCACATGTGAGCCCAGAAGGACTGAAGAAAGTGACACTAGCTGGAATGCCCTGTAGCGAAACAGAAGACAAGTGCGTGCCTCTCTGGACCCTACGCAGGAGACATTTCCCCAGCCCAGGTGAGGTCAGTGCAACCTCACAAGCTTTACCGGACCCCCACCACGTGGCCAAGACACATGGTCAGTGCTGCCACGGACGTCGGCACAAGGAATGAGGATGGTCAAAGCTACTTTTGGAAGGAGGCCAAGGCTAACATCGTTCAGCACCCTTCGATCACGGACGCTCTTTTAAAGAGCCAGGCTCCCACAAAAGAAATGGACTCTGTCTTAAAAAACACAGTAACAGCCTATGAATGTAGGAGACCTTTCCAGTGGGCTCTGTGTGTAATAAGCTCACCAGCTGCTTAGAGGAAACTATCTAACAGGAGATTTTAAGGAGAAAATAAATATTCAGGCACTACGTATAATTATAGCAGCTCAAAGGTGAACCATTTCAACAAGCCACTGACTTCCAAAAATTGGAGACTAGACCAGAGCAGAAATGCTGAATCTGCTGCCATTTCCTAAAGAAGTTTCAGCATTGCAATAGAGGGGAGGCCATGCTGAGCTCCAGGCCCTGAGGGCATGTACACGTGAGCTGGAGGGAGAGGAGGGGCTGGGCCAGGGAGCACGCAGCAGTGGCGCCGCCCAAGGAGACCTGCATGCATAGAAGAGAGCCTCACTGCTGGTGGCTGCACCAGGATGTTCCATGAAGTGACTATTCCAGTGGAAGGGTAGATGATGACACTTTTGTCCTTCTCAAAAAAGGCATCTGAGACGACGTCAGTGGTGGCTGACCCGGGTGCCTGCCCACATCTGATGTCTATAAAATGTTACCACACAATGCAGACAAACGTGAAGATAGGAGAGAACTCAAGAGGCCGGCAGACAGGCTTCTGAAGAGCGTTCTACAACAGGCAGGATGTTCAGTCACATGTATGACTGACTGAGAGATGGGGAGAATATTAGATTTCACTTACTGCTGTTGGATGACTTAAAAAAAAAAAAAGGTGCCTTTGGCCCAGGAGAAGAAAACGCAGGCTTAAAAGAGGGTCAGTCATGCTAGGATCTTGGCCCAGAGGGCCATGGAAAGATACCTAGTGGGTGAAAGTAGGCTGGAGCACACCCCCAGGGATGCCCGAGGGCAGGTGTGGATGGAGGCCGGCCCTGTGAGGACTAGCGGGATGTGCTGGACTCCACGGAGAAGGTCTTTGCTGCCTCAGGCTGTGAACTCATGGAGAGGTGAGGCTAAGCCTCCCAAGTGCATGGGAAGGTGTGGATGGGGCTGGGAGATGCACACCTGGCACCTGCTCCTTCAGGTGTACTAGAAAGTGATCAAAGAAATCACCTTTCCAGTAAGCATCTATGAGACCCCACTGGGTATCTGTATCCCCTGGGGATACAGATGCAGAGACAGTCCTTTCCTTGAAGCAGCTCAGATTCTCTCAGGGGAAACACCATCCACAGATAGAAGCAAGTACAAAAGAAAAAGCATTTGGGGGTGGGGTGGGCCCCTCTGGATTCTCCCACATGCCCTTTTCCTGGCTTTGACGCAGAGGGCCTGTGAGGTATCTTCCACCATAAAAGATCCTGGGATGACTCCGCTCTGGGCCCCAAGCCCCCCAAGGTGGTGACAAACAGTGCAGTGCGGATCACAAAGATGGTGAACACCATAGCCCCCTGGGGCGCCACTGGCCTCCTACCAAGTCCATATGGAGGCAGAACATTCCCAGGTCGATTGTGCTGGAGTGACCTGGCCAGAGTGAGCCCCGGGGAGTTCAACCTCCAACATACCGCCAAGCCAGAGGGAAGGTCAAGGGGCTTAGGACGAAGGCTCTTGGAGGCCTCCTCAGAAACCCAACGCACCTGCGAGGAGAAGTAGTTCTTCAGGGAGTCCTGTATCCCAGGATGCTGAATCTTCTGGTAAACAGTGATGCTTTCCAGTGGAATGCCTTAAAGAATTAAAGCAGACAAAAGCACGGGGACCCTGAGAGCTGTGACCCGGCCCTCCAGACACCATGTCAAGGTCGCTCCCCTCTGGGGTGGGCCTGCTGCTCCGCTCCTTGGGTGAGTGGGCTTTCTGTGGTGGGAGCTGCCTCTGTGCGGGGCTGCCAGATGCTGGAATAAGTGATGCCATCCGCTGAGCAGCATGATGGGAGAGGCTGGGTTTTCCTCCAGAGGCAAAGAGGGAGGGCAATCAAGTTTTCTACGGTGCCTCTGTGTGCTGGGCACGTTTACACAAAGACAAAGGGTCAGAGATTGGCTACTCTGACAGGGTCTACACAGGTCATCACAAATTCAAAAACAAGCTCAGGATGGAAAATGTGAACAGCCCAGAAGGGGGCGCTTTCTAAGAACATTCACTTCCTACCCCAATCTTTGTGATCATTCACATCAATTCATTTCCACAGAGAGGACCCTAAGGACCCAAAGGAAGGGCACATCTTGGGTTTAAAGCGAACAAAAAAGGAGCAGCTGGCAGCATGGTGGACAGAGCCCCGGGCCTGGAGTCAGGAAGACCTGAGTTCAAATCCAGCCTCAGACACTTATTGGCCATGTGACCTTGATCAAGAAACCTCCCCACTGTCTGCCTCAAGCTTCCTCATCTTTAAAACGGGGGTAATAACAACACCTACCTCTCAGGGTTGTGGGGATCAAAGGAGATAACATAAAGGGCTCTGCACGCTACTGCACTATAGAAACGCAAGCACTTGTTATGACTATTAAATTCTGATACTGCTCAAGGCAGCTAGGCCACAGGAGAGTTCTTCTGTGAGCTCAGTAACAATCCTATTAGGGAAAAACGTGTCAGTCTCTGGACCCAAGGTCCACGAGACCCGGCTCTCAGCCACCATGAGAAGCTGCCACCTCTGGACCTCTCAGGTCTCAGCTCCCTGGCCTGGTCCCTTCCGGCTCCACCCCTGGGCATCTGTGGCCACCATTTTGGAGGGATGGGGCTACGATGTGACAGGTGTCCAGGACAATGGCGCACAGCGCGGCGCTCCCGACAGCCAGCTCTAGAGACCTTTTTGGTGGAGCATCTTGGGGAGTGCTTCTCCTTTGAGGGTCCCACAAGGAAAGAGAAGGGGCAAAGTCGCCGGCTTTTCTCCTGGAAGCACAAAGAAAACAAGAGAAAACATGAGCACTGGCTACGAGAGATGACTGAGGAGAGAGCGCCTGGCCTCCCAGCTCTCAGCATGAGAACTGGAGACACGGGCATGTCTAACAGTAGGGAAATGGCGGACTGTGGCCCTTGCGGGTGACGGAATGCTGCTGTGCCGAGAGAAATGACAAAAAGGACAGCTTCAGAGTGACCCAAGAACACGGGTGAGTGGAAGAGGAACCATTCGTACAAGTGACACACTCGGGACGAACCTATCCGGTTAAATGACCGAGAGACGTGGGGCCTGCGGTCAATCAACGCAGCCCATACCAAGGGCAGAAGACCAGGGAGGAAGCGAGTTTGCGACGGCTGGGCGGAGAGGCGGGGGCTAGAGGTGCAGAACGGGACATGCTCATTCCCACACGGCCAACGCGCGAGTCTGGTTGTGTGATTATTTTTATTTGTTACGAGGGAGGGCTTTCCTGGGGGGAGGGCACAAAGGGGTCACGATCGCGATCATTTTAAAAAGGAAGGAGAGAGAAGAGAGGGCTCGCTACCTAAACACAGAAAGAGAAGGTTCCGAAGGGGATACATCCCAGCAGGACATCATAGCTACCACTCCACACGCAGACTTCCTTTTCTGTTTTCCCACAGGCAGTGAGATACTCACATCTGTCCAGCTCGTAATGATGACAAGGGACATTTGCAAAGAGAACGTCTGCAATCCGTTCAGGGGCGCAGAGCAAAGGGCTACCTGGATCCCTAAATTCTAACGTGGCTCTCCATGATGGAGGCCGCCCTTTCACACTCCCTGCCAGGCGGTGCTGGTTTGTTTTTTAAACATTAAATGGAATGCTAAGGTAAGGGCTGGGGCCTGTACTAATACCACTGAGAAGAGACAGAGGTGGCCAGTGCAAGGCCAGTGGAAACTGAAAGTGGTTCCAGGAGTCAATCAATCAACACACACTGACTAAACACCTACTGTGTGCTAGCCACTGGGGATATAAGAACAAAGAATGAAACACGCTCTACTCCACCAAGAACTCACCTTCTAATGGGGGCAGCAACAGCACACAGATAAATATAAACAGATTAAGTACAAAGTTGAACACCAGTTCAGGTCTGCAAGATGAGTGGGGCCTACCAGTCGGGGGGATCAGGGATGGCTTCATGCGAAATAACACCTGAGCTGTATCCCAAAGATGGGAGGGCCCTACGAGGAGGAAGTGAGGAGGGAGAGGATGGTGCAATGGCCTGGAGACGGGAGACGGAGTGTGAGGAACAGAGAGGCCAGTTTGGCTGGAAGGCAGAGCATGACCAGGAGAGGGAGGTGAAAGAACAGCCTGGGCTAGGCTGGGGAGGAGCTTCTGTTTTCTCCTGGAGGCCCTAGGGAGCCACTGGGTAGTGCTCAGTGGGGGAGTCCTCTGGGCAGGCCTGTGTGCGGAGGATGGCCTGGAGTACGGCGACACGCAAGGCATGGAGACTTCATCAGGAAGCCATTTACAAAGATCCAGCTGAGTGGTTCTGAGGGTGCGAGGGACAAGAAGGGGTCAGATGCAGGAGACGCTGGGGAGGCAGAAGATCCAGGAGGGAGAGTGAGGAGTGAGGAACCTGGAGTGAGGCCAGGAAGCTAGGAGACTGGAAAAGTGGGGATCCCTTCAGCAGAAGCAGGCGCAGTTTGGGAAGAAAGAGAATGAGTCCTGTTTGAGTCTGAAATGTCTCCAGGATGCCCGCTCCGGAATGTCCGATGGGCAATGGGATGGACACACAGAAGCTCCGTGGCATGCTGCCCTCCTGGGTCCCTCTGTCCACTCAGCGGTCCCAACTCTTAAGGGGCAGTGGATGGTGTCTGCAGAGTGGACAAGAGGAGGTCGGCTCTTCCCTGCGCCTCCTACAAAAGCATCAGGGCATCTTTGGTGCTGGGCCTTTTCACGGCTCACGGTAATAACCACAGAATGACGTCTGAGGATGGCACTGGGGACTAAACTGTGTGGCTAGACAGGGAAACCTAGGGTGCTCAAACAGGAGCTTGGAGGCCCAGGACCTGAGTTCAAATGTCTACACTTCTCTGCTATGATCTTGGGAAAGTCACTGAGCTGGTCTCGTTTCCTCATGCTCCAGATGGACCAGACAGCTTCTCGCACGCCTCTTGGCTCCAAATCCATTCCATGCTTCCCTGCTCCCTTTCATGTGTGGTCTCATCTGTTAGATGATAAGCTCCTTGAAGGCAAGGGCTGTCTTTTTGTTCAGATTTATATCCCCAGAAACGAGCATACAGCAAGCACTTAATAAGCTCGTTACCTACCTACCCTTAAATGCTTTACACACGTGGCACTGATGAAGCATTTCTTAAGCACATACCAAGCGCCAAGCAGTGGGGCACACAGCTGTCTCTAGGGGTGTGGAAGTGGCCGAGGTGGTGTCGAAGCTGGCCTCCTATCAGAGCCTCCAGGGCTGCAGCCCAAGGTTCTGGTGGGAGGAGGTGGAGACCATACGGCCAACGGCATCCCAAGGCCTGGGCCCCTTCACCTCTGCTTGTAAATGAGGAGGCCCGACTAGATCCCCCGCGGCCCTTCTGACCCCACTCTCCCTGGACTAGCCTGAGCTCAGCCTTCTCTAAGGGACTTCAGAGCAGAAAGAGAGCCAACAACCAAGAGCTTCCCTCTTCCATTTGCCTCTTGTCCACCTCGGGCCCTTCCAATCCCCCCACGAGAGGCTGGTTTGAAACCGTTCTCTTTGGCTGTCACCATCCTGGCTACAAACAAAGTCCGCCTTTCCCTTTGCAATGTCCATTTCTGCCCAGTGCCATCTCCAAATGAACGGCTTTAGACTGTTATCAAGTTGTGTGACAGCTAATGTAGGATGGTCGTTTTCCGCAGAAGATCGATCTGTAGATACAAGCCCTGTCATAAGACTTGGCTTGATCCGAATTCTGGACTGCCTGAAAACCTGGGCCACTCGGGGTTCTGGGGCCAGGAACACCTGAACACGAGCTTGGGCTGGGTTATAAGCACTCCCTCCCTCCCACTCCTCAATTCTGGCTCCTCTGACCCTCCTGTCATTCCCTCTGGATGCTCTGCATTTAGCTTGGTGTCCAGGGAAGCAGCCCTTCCCCCAGTGGATGCCCATGGCCCTGCCAACTGGCAACTGCGGGTTGCCTCCTTCCTTAGATTGTGAGCTCCTGGACAGCAGAGGCTGTCCTGCTTTTCCCATCTGCATCTCCAGCATGTAGACAGTGCCTGGCACACAGGAAGTGCTTAATACATTTTTTCATTCTTTAATTCATTCCTTCAAGACAAAATGATCAACTAAGGGGACATGTTAAAGAGAGACAGGTAAGCAGGCCTCAGTTTATCACTCTGAATAGTTATTTAGCATGAAACACCGGTGGTGGCACCTTCATAGGAATGTTTCAAATTGACTTTTGCATTGTTTTTTTCTGTCTTTTAAACTCCACAAAACCCAAAGGCTTCCATGGAACTAATGATAATTTCTCAAGAATTTGACATTCCTAAGGACAATTCCTGCCCCTTCAGGCCAGGAAGCAAGGGAGTTTTGAGTTAAGGGTAAACAGCATTCAGACAACTCACTTTTCTGGCAGTAGGAGGGAGAGCATGGGGAGAATATATGCACACCTCTGATTTCAATGGTGCAGGGCATCCTCAGTGAGGAAACGCCCTCCGCAAAGCAGATCAGCACTCGCTTTCTAACTTCTGGTTTCACACAGCTGCCTGGGGCACTGAGAGTCCGAAGACTTGCCCAGGGTCACACAGCTGGGATGGGTCGCGCCTGAGACTTGACAAGGTCTTTTTGACTCCAAAGCCAGCTGTCAACCCGCTGCCCCATGCTTTTCCTCAACAGGATGCATTGGATAATGATCTTGAAATCTGATTCCCACTCACAGGCTCAATTTCCTGCAATCTAACACTTTATTAAGTGGCCAATGTATAAAATGGGTAGATTTCCCCTTCACCTGCCCTTTCTCTGAGGAATGCCAAAAAGAGGACAAAAAAAGTAGATTAGTTAAAAGGCAGATAGCAGAAAGGCAAAGGAGGGACAGTAAAGGTCTAAAAAAAGTGGTCACTGAAAAATCAGGATATCATTCGACCAAAGAAAAACGAGATTCACTGATTTTCTACACCTGGTTGTATTCTTTATGCTGCTGGATAGACAGAATCCTGAAGCTGGAATGTTGTGAAGCAGCCTCACAGGAGAAAAGCTTCTGCCGTTAGATTTGACTGGCTGCCCTGCCTTTCCTCTCCCTGCCTTCAGTCTACCTATCTGTCCATCTCTGAATGGTCACCATTCCCTTACGCGCGCTGTCCCTTCTCATTAGAATGTTTATATTTCCAGCCATAAGCACGATGCTTGGCATTTTGCAAGTTCTTAATAAATGCTTTTTCATTCCTTCCTTCACTGCTGAGTTTGTATGAGGTTAAATCCTCCCAGATCATCATCCTACCTCTGTTTCTGAGGTTGCTTTAACCTTACGGGAGGAGGAACTTCATGGGCACTTGGGCACACGTGGTCCATTGTGTCCACACAATGTCAAGAAACCTAGAAGGTTCCCAGGAGGTTGGGTAGATCCCCTTTAGATGACTTAGACATAGGGGAGACTTGAGCAGGATGGGTGGATTGGTCGTGACATGCAGAGATGAAGGCAGTGCCCACACTGAAGAGATCCAGGTCCATCAAAGTTGGCACAAACTGCCATTAGTGTGCAATGAAAGCATTCTTCTGGTGGTCCTCTCTCTTGGGATGCTGCTGTCTCTCTCCAAAAAGTGACTGTAGGAAGGATTCCGGAACCTTAACATCTCCTCTAAGACAGTGTCTTCTTAACAGGGATGATGTTTAGGCCCTTTACTACCACTTGCTTTTCTGACTTCAGGAAGGCTGCTAAAAAGTAAATTCTCCCTCAACCATCTGTCTTCTGGTTTAGTTTCTACATTGGCCTCCCTATCCATCCTAAACCGCCCCAACAATATATTTTAAATAAGAAACACTCT